AAAAAAAAAAAAAAAAAAAAAAAAATGTTGAACGTAAATATGTATATATATATATATATATTTTTTTAATATCGGATTAAAAAATTATATATTTTTTTATAACATGAATAAGAAATAAAATTTAATAATAAATTGAATTTTTCAAATTTACAAAAATACAAAGAAACTATGTTTTTTTACAACTATGAATCATGAATGTCTATAATTATTATATTATTTTATTTTATTTTATTACTTTTATTATTCTAATAATATAAATGAAAAGAAAATAAAAAATATTTAATTAAAAGTTTCATTAAAAACATTAAAAACATTAAAAATAATTTATCTATTTTCTTCTACTACTACTTCTTAAATGATATTGTCTAACTGTTTCAACTTTTTTTTTTTCATTTAATAATATATTACTTTTTATTATATCCTTATTTTTATTTTTTGAGGATCTTTTTAATTTCACTAAACTATTATTTTTATCTTTTGATGTATTATCATTTTCTGACACACTACCAGTCTGTGATAAATTAGCAGTCTTTAATAAATTAGCAGTCTTTGATAAATTAGCAGTCTTTGATAAATTAGCAGTCTTTGATAAAAGGTCATCAATTTTTAATAAATTTTCATCTGTATTTCTTTCTATAATTTTAAACTTTTCTGAAATATTGTATTTTTCTATTTTTCCATATTTTTTTAAAATATCATCTTTCTGTAAATGATTATACTTAGACAATTTTTTCTCTCCAAATGATAACAAATCATTTAAAATATATTTTAAGTTATCCAATTCTAATAATAATGATTTACAATTTTCATTGAGTACATCAATTTCTTTTTCTTTTTTATCTAAACATTTATTTAATTTTAAAATATGATTTTCAAATTCTTTATTTTTCATTATATTTTCTTCTATTAATATGTTACAATTCTTTTTAACTAATCTTAATTCTTTGATTATATTTGAATGAAATATAAATAATTCATTAATACTTTTAAAATTTAATTCATTCATATATTTCTTTAAGTCATCACTCATTTCGTTATCATATATTAATTTTTCCTTTTCATGATAAGCAATTTTTTCTAATAATATATTTTTTTCATTAATAATTTCATCAAATAACATCTTTTCTGTTTCTATTATTTTGGTTGTACGATTATCACTTATTTCATTCATGAAAATTTTTATTTTGTCTAATTTCCTTTGTATATTTGAATCTATTTTATCACCACTTTTTTCAATATATTTTATGAATCCTTCTAGTGTTTTAATGAGTTTATTTACTTTTAATGCATTTTTTTCATAAATATTACATGTATTTTTATAATATAATATTTTTTCATCAAAATATTTTACTTTCTCATCAAAAGAAGCCATTTTTTCTTTAAAATATATCATCTTTTCTTCAAAATCTTTTTCTAAATTTTCTTTTTTTAATGTTATTTCAATATATGAATCATAAAGTTTATTATATTCTTCAATAGATTTTAAAACGTTGTTATTCTTTTCACTCAATTTTTCAAATTTTACTTGTTCACTTCCTGTAAATAATTTATTTTGTTTTCTTTTAGATTTATTTTCTTGTTCTATTATATTAACTTCGTCTTTTTTTTCTGATAACGAAATAAAATCTTTCTGTTCATCTAATAACTCATTATTTTTATTTTTTTTATTTTCTATCTCTAATTTTTTTTTCATCTCTTCAATTAATTTTTCTTGCTTTAATAATTTATCATTCTGATCTTTGATTTTTTTTTTTTGATTTTCTAATTCTTTATTCATTTCACTATTAACTTTTTTTTCTTTTTCTATTTCTACATTTAATTCATCATTTCTTTTTTTTTCTTTTTCTAATTCTTTATTCATTTCACTATTAACTTTTTTTTCTTTTTCTATTTCTACATTTAATTCATCATTTCTTTTTTTTTCTTTTTCTATTTCTACATTCAATTCATCATTTCTTTTTTTTTCTTTTTCTAATTCAGTATTTAATTCATCATTCCTTTTTTTTTCTTTTTCTAAATGTTCATTAAACTCATCATTTCTTTTTTTTTCTTTTTCTAAATATCCATTAAACTCAACATTTTTTTTTTTTTCTTTTTCTAATTCTTTATTCATTTCACTATTAACTTTCTTTTCTTTTTCTATTTCTACATTCAGTTCATCATTTCTTTTTTTTTCTTTTTCTATTTCTACATTTAATTCATCATTTCTTTTTTTTTCTTTTTCTAATTCATTATTCAATTCATCATTCATTTTTTTTTCTTTTTCTAATACTATAACAAGTTCATTATTAGTATCTTTTTCTTTTTTTAATTCTATATTCAGATCAACATTTACTTTTTTCTCTTTTTCTAAACATTCATTAAACTCATCATTTCTTTTTTTTTCTTTTTCCAATTCAGTATTTAATTCATCATTCATTTTTTTCTCCTTTTCTAAATATCCATTAAACTCAACATTTTTTTTTTTTTCTTTTTCCAATTCAGTATTTAATTCATCATTCATTTTTTTTTCTTTTTCTAATACTATAACAAGTTCATTATTAGTATCTTTTTCTTTTTTTAATTCTATATTCAGATCAACATTTACTTTTTTCTCTATTTCTAAATATTTATTAAGTTCAATATTTGTTTTTTTTTCATTTTCTAATTTTATATTCCATTCATTATTCATTTTTTTTTCTTTTTCTAATATTGTAATCAGCTCATTATTAGTATCTTTTTCTTTTTTTAATTCTATATTCAGATCAACATTTACTTTTTTTTCTTCTTCTAATGATATTTTTAATTGATTATTAATTTTTTTTTCTTTTTCTAAGTGTTCATTAAACTCAACACTTATATTTTTTTTTTTTTCTAATTCTATATTCAACTCGTTATTAGTTTCCTTTTCTTTCTCTAGTTTCATATTCAATTCGTTAATAATTTTTTTGCTCTCTTCTAATTCTATACGTAGTTGATTTTCCAACATTCTTTGCTTATCCGAATATTCATCAAATTCAATATTTCTTTTTTTTTCTTTTTCTAATTCTTCTTTTAGTTTAATATTAATCTTTTTTTCTTTTTCTAGCTCTTCACTAAGATCATTATTTAGTTTTTTTTCTTTTACTAGATATTCAGTGTATTCAAGACTTATTTTTTTTTCTTCTTGTAAATATTCTTCTGAGTTATCATTTATCATTTTATTTTTTGATTTAAGTTCCTTACAACTATTAAAATTATTTTTTTCCAAAAAAATTATTATGTTTTTTATCATTTTTTTTAAAATATTTAATTTATTAACATTATTATAATTTTTTTTATAAGAATTTATATCTATATCACCATGATCTTTTCTTTTCATTATTTCTTTAGAGTAATTACAAACTAAATAATGATCTTTTATGAAGTTTTCTTTTTCTGACTCTTTAACATTCTTTCTATTTTCTTCTTTGATGTTAATACTAAAATAATTAAAATTGAAACTTTTAGAATTCCTTTTAGAATTTTCAAGTTCATTTTTTTTATCACATGCAAATTTCTCGTTTAAATAAATTTCATCATTTTTTTCTGAATCATATTTTAATATCGTATTTTTTAAATTATTATAGATTTTAGAAGATTCTTTAATTGATGATATATTTTCTGATATCTCAATGTCTTTTATTAAAATATTATATATATTTTGAATACCACAAAATATATTATTAATTTCTTCTTCATCATTACTAATTCTAATTTTTAATTTTTCTATATTGTCAATTTCACTTATTAAAATATTATTTAGACAATTTATTATTTTCATTTTATTAATATTTAACTCTATTTCATAATTTAGATAATTAGAATTCTGAACGTCTGTTAGATAACAATATTTTTCTTCAGAATTTTTAAATTGTTCACATTCTTCTAATAGATTATTTATATAAAAATCAGAACTAGATATAAATGAGTTAAAAGCATTTTCATTATTTTCCTGTTCTTTTATTTTAATTCCATAATTTTTGTTTACGTTTTCATTATTTTTTAATTTTTCATTCATAAAATTTAATTTTTGATTTTTACTTATGCTAGAATAATCCTCATAAAAACATAGAGGAAATATTTTTTTTAATGATATTATGATATCGTTGTTATATTTACAAAAATAAATTTTTCTTAATTCAAAATTATATTTCACTAAATTATTGTTTACAATTTCTGCTTTATATATGTTTTCATTTTTTATTTTTAATTCAGTAAATTTAATTAAAATATTAAAATCTCTTTTTTTCCATTTCAAAAGAATTTTAATTAATTTTTTTAAGGTTGAAATTTCATTAGTTAAAATTAAGTTGTTATTTTTTAAAAAATATTTTTTTGCCATATGTAATATATATTTACTAAAATTGATAAGATACTTCTCTTGTTTTTGAAATATATAAATTAGTTTAACTAATTTCTTTGAGTCGTTTGAGAGAACTTTATTTTCACAACTTAAATCTGAAAAATTATATTTCATCAATTCTACACATATTCTAAATAAAGTATTAATATACATAAACAATTTCAGTAAACAACTATAAAAATGCATTTTTCTTTTTAAATTAATATCACTTAATTTGTCTTTTTTATTTTCATCAAAGCTATTTTCATTTATTAAAGGACTGTTATATGTTGGAAAATATATATTCGTATTTATATTATAAGTATCATAATTAAAATTCTTATCATAATTTATTTTGTTATTAAATTTGGAATCATTTGAATTATTAACATCATAGAAATTTTGACATTTTTCCATACTATTACTTTCAAATAATATATTACAAATTTTAAAAATTATTACTTTTTTTTCAACATTACATTTTCTATTATTTTCAAATGTTTTTTCCATGAACTTTTTATATTTTTTTTCTTCTTCTGTTAATTTATTTTCTAGTAATATATTAGTGAAATCACTTTTATTATTTTCAGATTCTATCATTACATCAACACTATTTGTATGTTCACTTAATTTTCTTCTTTTATTAAATAAATCAAAACTGTTTTTTTGTAAATTTTTCTTTTTACTGTCACAAGTAACCTCTTGATCACTTGTATTTTTATAATGTTCTTTATAAAAATCATTAAATAAATCATTTGTTTTTTCTATTTTTTGCACTACTAATCTTTTATAATTGCTATAATCATTCTTTTTGTTTTTATTATTAGTCAATTTTAAGTAATCCTCATTGTTATCTAAAAGATGAGAAACTTTTATTTTGCTATTACTAACAGTTTCAAAATATTCTTGATTTTTTTTTAAAACATCCTCATAAGTCATGTTATTTTTTTTCTTAATAGAGCCTATATGGAAATATTTATTAAAAAATAAGTTAAAATTTTCAACATCAAAAAAATCAAAATAGTTAACATAACCATCAAAAAATATATCTTCTTCTGAATTACAAGAGAAGTCTTCTAAGTAGTTTTTTTTCAAACGTTCTTTTCTTTCTAGAAGGCAGTTACCTCCAGCACATTTGAATAAAATCTCTGCACATTTTAAATATTCAGTTGATGTGGAAAATTTCTTTTTAAAAGCATTTAACTTGTTGTAAATATTTTTTATTTTTTGTTTTTTTTTTTTTTTTAAAATATCAAATGAATAATTATCCTCAAAGATATCAAAATTATCATATTCAGAACATGTATTACTTAAAATGTTACATTCTATTATTTCATCATTAAATTCAGAAAAATTCATTTTAATGGTTATGTTTAATATAAAATCACAATAGAAATGTGAAAAATTTTATTTGATGATAATATTTAAAATATTGATTGACATAAAAATAAAAAGAAGAACTTTTATATATTATGTTTTATTTATAATAAAAAAAAAAAAAAAAATAAAATAATGCATATAAAATTGTTAAATTGTAGAATGTTCAAAGTATGTAACACTTTATATTTTATTATTTATTAAAGACAAACATTTAATAAAATAAGAAAACAAAAAATACACAAAATGATGAGTGATTAATTTACAATGTTTTTAAAATAAGAAAAAAAAAAAAAAAAAAAAAAAAGATATAATAATATATCTATAATATTTTGAAGTTTAAGTAATTTTTCATATATACAAATCTTGTAAACATTTTTATTTAATGTAAATTTTAAATGTAAATTATCAAAAATATAACATTGTAGTTTTATTTTATTTACATTTCGTTTATTTTATTTTGTTTTTTTTTTTTATTTTATTTATTTTTTTTTTTTTTTTTTGTTTAATGCATGCAAATTATTAATTAATCATTAATTTCACAAAAAACTTTATATTTCCAGCTTTTTTATACATTGAAAAAAAGGAAAATTTAATATTCATATACATATATATATGGAAGCATTAATCTAAATTGAAATAATTTTTATTTATACAACTTTGTTTTATTTTTTAGGATTATCAACATACATTAACTTTAATTATACCATCTTAATGTAAAAAAATTAAAAATAATATAAATTTATTTTTTGTTATTTTTTACAATAGATTTTAAAAATAAAAAAAATTGTATGCTCATATATTTTATTAGGTTAATATAAATTTGTTTTACTGTTATTTTATAAAATAATTTCTAATTATTTTCTTTGAAGTTTTTATAATAAGTTTCATATTTTATTATATTCTTAAAAAGATATTAAATAATTTATTATATTAAGCTTTGTTTTATTCGAATTAAAATTTATATCTTTTATTTATGCACAAGAAAAATTATGAGAAATTATAAATGGATGAACAAATTTTATCATTTTAATTTATTACTTTAACATATATTCTAAATATTTATTATTTAATTTCCTCGTGTATTTTTGAAATATATACTTTTTTTCATGTCTTATTTTTTTAAAACATTCTTTTTTTACAATATATTTATATTTTAAATAACCATATGTCATTTAATATATATATATATAATACATTTAATAAGTAAATAGTATATATATATATATTTTTGTTTATAATTATTTTTAGATTTAATAGAATTTAAAAATTAATATTACAATAAAAAGTTTTCCATAATATATCTTTTGTTCATTTGCTAAATATTTTTATTCAAAAAAGTATACAATAAGGTAAAATAGAAAAGATTAAAATATCATAAAATAAAACAAATTAAAAATAAAGTAAAAAAAAAAAAAAAAATAAAGATAAAAATAAAACATATATAATGAAAAATAAACAGAATAATACACTGAATGCAATAACAAATTTTAAGAAATTAAAAATAAATGAAGTATTACAAATAACTAATTATATTGTTTTTTTTTTTTTTTTTTTTTTTTTNTCAAAAAAGTATACAATAAGGTAAAATAGAAAAGATTAAAATATCATAAAATAAAACAAATTAAAAATAAAGTAAAAAAAAAAAAAAAAATAAAGATAAAAATAAAACATATATAATGAAAAATAAACAGAATAATACACTGAATGCAATAACAAATTTTAAGAAATTAAAAATAAATGAAGTATTACAAATAACTAATTATATTGTTTTTTTTTTTTTTTTTTTTTTTTTTAATTGTATTTAAAAAAGAAAAAAGAATAACATACAAACAAAAAGATGTTAAATAAACTAAAATGTTTTAAATTTATTAAAAAAGTTTAGTTAAATTAACAATTTTAAAATGATATATTTTAAAAAAAATAATAATAATAATAATAAAAAAAAAAAAAGATTAATAATTTACTTAATCACATAGGAAAATAAAAATTTTGTTTATAAGAAGAAATATTTCTTAAGTTCTTCTTTTCTTATTGTTTTTTTAAGATTTTTTAATTTTACTTTTAAATCTTCTAGTCTTTTAATTTCTGCTTCAGTTAAATTTTTTTTTAATTGTAAATTATTCAATATTTGAATTTTATCTTCAAGTATTTTTTTTTCTACTAACAATATTTCCTTTTCTTCCTTTTTTTTTGATAAATTATTATTTTTAAGATAGTTCAATTCTTCTTTACTTAATAAATAATCCAAAGATAAATTTTTTTTATCTACGTATTTCTCATTATATTGAATAAGTTTATCTAAAATTAGTTTTTCTAAATTATCTATTTGTTTTATATCTTCATTAGTTTTTTTTTTCTTACTTTGATAATATAAAAATATTTTACTTGTTTTAACAAAATTCACAATTGAATCTAAATAATACTGTAATACATCAATATAATATGTTTTTTCATTTTCAAGAGATGATAATCTCTTTGATAGATATGTTTCATTTTTCGTTTTGTTTACTAAAATTAAACTTTCTATTAATTCAGCAAATTCTTGCAATGAGCATCCAGATAACTTTTTCAATTCTATACTTTTCCCATTTCCTTTTTTAATAAATTTTTTTATAATTTCATTATCTTCATTTATATTTAATTCAGACAAAAAATTAACAGCATCATTTATTAAAAAGCCTGAACTTTTGTCTGTATCTAATTGAATAAAATACATGGCAATTTGCCTACTTAAATCTTCGTTTAAACATGTTAAAAATTGTGAATTTTTAACACTATTTTTTTCTTCATACGAATAAAATAATTTAACGAAATCTCTAATTATACTTTCCTCTGCTTTAGATAAATTCATATCATTTTTGTAAACTTTATAAATTACATATGAAAAAAAAATTATGTTAAAAGAATATGCAAATATTTTTAATTTTGAGAATTTTTTCTTCTTTTTTGTAATATCATTTATATTATTTTCATCAATATCTTTTTCTTCTATTAATTTACACTTGTTTTCTTCAGTAACTGTGTTATTATAATTAACAGGAGAATTTTCATTTTCTAAATTTTTGTTTACTACATTTTCTTTTTTACTATTTGAAAAAAAGCGATACTTAGCAAAAATGTATTTCTTATTATTATAATTGATATACTCATCTAAATTTTTTGAATTTTTTAAAATAGAAAACTTATTTTTTTTGACATTAAAGATGGTTTCAATTTTATACAAATTATGTAAACATATGAAATAATTACATCTTTTATTTCTCCAACAGTTACTTTGTAAATTTTTTAAATGTATATAATTCATCTTCTCTTACACACATATAATTATTTATACATTTAAGGATTGTTTTTTTTTTTTACTGTTATTTTTTTCTAATAATATTTAACACATATAGCATAATCATATATATAATCTCAAAATACAAGTAATTAAGCGTAATTTTATATTTAATATAATTAAAAGTAAAAATAGTTTGTTTTTTTTTTTAAATTTATATTTTCCTTTTTTTTTTTTTTTTTTTTTTTATATTCTTTTTATATTATTATTTCTCACAAAAAAAAAAAAA